TCCCCCTGCTTGTGTTCCCTCTCTCGCTGTGTCTCTCTCTGTCAAATAAATAAATAAAATCTTTAAAAAAAACAAACTACAATGAGATATCACCTCAAACCTGTCAGAATGGCAAAATCAGCAACACAAGAAACAACAGGTATTGACAGGATGCAGAGAAAGGGGAATCCTCTTACACTGTTGGTGGTAATGCAGACTCGTGCAGCCACTGTGGAGAAGAGTATGGAGGCTCTTCAAAAAGTTAAAAATACAACTACCCTATGATCCATCAATTGCATTACTAGGTATTTACACAAAGAATATAAAAATACTGATTTGAAGGGACACATGCACCCCAATGTTTTTAGCAGCATTATCAACAATAGCCAAATTATGGAAAGAGCCCAAACACTGATCGATTGATGAATGGATAAAGAAGAACGGGTGTGTGTGTGTTTGTGTGTGTGTGTGTGTGTGTGTGTATAATGGAAAATTACTCAGCCATCAAAAAGAATGACATTTTGCCATTTGCAATGACGAAGATGGAACTAGAGTATAACATGCTAAGCAAAACAAGTCAGTCAGAGAAAGAAATATATGATTTCACTCATATGTAGAATTTAAGAAACAAAACAGATGAACATAGGGAAAGGGGGACAAGAAAAGAGAGGGAGACAAACCATAAGAGACTCTGAACTATAGAAAACAAGCTGAGGGTTGATGGAGAGGAGGTGGGTGAGGGATGGGCTAGATGGGTGATGGTCATTAAGGAGGGCACTTGTGATGAGCACTGGATGTTATATGTAAATGATGAATCACTAGTTCCTGAAACCAATACTACACTATATGTTAACTGACTAGAATTTAAATAGAAATTTGTAACAGAAAAATAATAATAAAATAATATACCTGTGCTATACTGCAAAGTTCTCACACATCCTTCTCAAATCTTACTTCTCATTACCCTGGATTACTCAAGCTTGTTTAATGAGGTCATCATATTTAATAATGTAAAATGCCATATTTATTATTCGCTCTAAAAGTT